GCCCGCGAGATATCAGCCGTCACAGTTTCTGCTGTACGACCATGTTCATGGCTTTCTCGGGCTACGAAACGTCCATCTTTACAGAACCACGACACCTTTTCCTTTGCGTTTGCTAAAGAAGAGGACGAAGTAGGGAGGCCAGAGAAGGCAAGGAAGAGAAAGAGGAAGAATAAGACTTGTAAGAAAAGAAGAAGACTGATGATACCACTAGAACAGGGAGACTGGCCGGCGTTTTACGGAGTTTGCTATTACTTGAGAGACGGACAGGACCCTACTCATTGTACACTAGAGGGAAAAGGGATCACATCGGTCTTTGGGGTTCAGTGGAACTTTTTGAGATTTCCAACTATTTTTCTGTCTTCATATTTTCTTTGTTTCGAGGGAAGAAACTCATAGACAGACTTCATGTAAGAAGGAATTGCAAATTAAGCCTTGCCAAACACATTTTGCCCCAAAACTCAAGGGGCGTCGACCGGCATTTGAAGTCCGAGTACCGACCCAACGGAGAGATTGAATATCGGAAAGACGGGGTCCTTTGACGGATTCAGACTGATGCCGCGATAGAGAAATAGTCTCAAATGGCATTAGGAGAATTTCCAATTTCCCATTTGCAAGTTGGCGTAATTGCCCAAGTAGCAGCTGATGTGAAGACCTGCCATTGCGAGCATCTCGTTACACTAGTGGGGAACTCAGTATGCCGGTTTCTTCTCCAGAATGATCGACGAAGCACTGCCACTCAAGGGGGTAGGTAAGAAAGATCTCTGGCGGGGGGCTGTGGCATTGCCTTCTCGTCTGCTTGGGATGAACGACGTCTCATCGGATGAAAAAAAAGAGCCAAAACAAAAATCTAATATGGCTGCCTAGAGTTGAAGGTCTGGGCATGGCGTGATCTCCAAAACTCCAGTCTCCAGCCACCAGCTCAGTGCTGACAAAGAGTTCCAATTCAAAAATCTGGTTTCCTTGGCCCCGTCACGTTTTTGGCGATAAGTTACACTACCATATCTCCGGGGAAGGTGACAACGCCTAGGGCGACGCGACGACTGCCATCACGGGTTGGTGTTTGTTGGACACATGCCAGGTACCAACCGTGCGGTCCGGTTCGTATTCCGAAAGGCATTTCTAAAATTGGACATGAGCAGCCAGCACAGCTCCCCGCCTTGAGCTTTCGAGAGAAGGGCCCGCTCCGGCATGGCATGGGTCCCGAGCTTCGCGCGGTGTGTGGAGAAATCGAAGGGTTCCAAAACTTCCAAAGGTCGAGTCCCTCGCTTCGATCACGGCCTTGGATTGCCGGATGGACCTGAAACGGGGCACCTTTTCTCGAATAAGCTTCTTCCTGCCGCGCGGTGGATTTGCAAAGAACCATATGCTTGATGTCATTATTCATATCGGAGTGGGCATGCCCGCATGGCCTGGCACGCCTGGCATTTTGGGGGCCAAGGGGCCACGAAGCCGGCGTGGCTGTGTCGGGCGCGATTCCGCGTCTTGCAGCAACGCTAGATTTGCGACGGGGCCGTCATTGGCCCGTTGAGCAGGGAGACATCGTGGACTGTAGGCATTTGAGAAAGTTTGGGGAATGGAAAGCCATCCGGTAAAGACACTTGATCTCATAGTGGTTCATATCGTCGAACAAGACCGTTGGTGCTGGTTGTGATATGGCGATGGGGTCCTTGTTTCACGCGGGACTGCGCCTCATTGCAGAAGACCCATCCAAGACCTCATGGAACGAGAAACGCCTGCATCGAGCTTAAGTTGGTTAGAGGGACTACGAGACAATCGAAGCAAGTAACCCGGCCCCAAGATGTCTGGTGGTAGCTCATATGATTTGTGACACGAATGAATATTGGAGGGGTCAGCTTCATGGCAAATCTGGCGGCACAACTTGTGCCTTGCACCAAGGAACGGGACGGTGAGACTCGTACCTGAAGATGATGACGCTAACTTCTACTGTGAGTTGTAAAACATTATTGTATGGTGGCAGCAACCTATGTTTGCACAGCTTGATGGATGAGTATGGCGGACTCGGCATCTACTGTCTAGTGCGATTGGACGTCGTTTGTGGCAGTGCTGATGACATTTAGTCCATCCGTCTGAATATTTGATCAAAATACGTAGTCAGTCATATGCTTTGTTAGACTCGAGCCACATTCGATCTGTATCTGGGAGGAATGCATGTGCCGGCCTTGCAGAGAGATGTATGTAGAGGGGTGCACAAGGGTGGATTGAACATTGCTGTGTTCGCTCACTGACGAATAGGCGATCCGGCGGAGCAAGTAGCTGTGATGGGCGTCAGCATCAGCTCGCGATGCTTGGAATCCGGATTGCTTATTCGGGGGAAACGAGGTTGGATCCAACTCGCGTGCCCACCCGCGAGACATTGGCACGTTGGCGAGCTGACGGCAGCTCTTAGTGGTGCCAGTGTTTGATGAAGTCGGCATTTGCCTGTCCGCTCTCATCTCATGTCTGATGCTCATTGCTGCTCCATGTAGGCTGCTCCATGTAGGCTGCTCCATCTGATGTCCGCGTCGATGTCGGTAAAGGAGGATCGTCAGCGTAGAGCGGCATGGGAGGTAGACCGTATGTTGGCGGGTCCAGGGCCAACGCTCATGTTGATTGGTGACGGTGCGTGATAGTGTCTACATCGTGCATCTAGCAGAGCTCCATTGAGTATCAGGTTGTCTAATGAGCTGGATGTTGGAATTGAAAAGTGGGTGGATGGGACCTGTCAATCAGCGCCTGACAGACCGGCAGCTAAGGCAGTCTGGACCAGGGCGAGAATAACAACGACAACGATGACGACGGCGAGGGCGCAGGGATCACCAGTGACAGGTGACGGGACTCTTGAAGCCGCTGATGCGGTAGGGGAGTGGAAGTGCGTCGGTGTGTCGAGACATGAGACTCTAGACTCTAAACTCTAGAGCCAAACCCATAGTGCTAGAATCCCCTATGCCGTGGCATCGGTGTGAGTGGTGTAGTATACTTTGCAGAGTGTAAATGGCTGGCATGCGATGGCATGATCAAGATGCCTCTTTCGATGCTGACTGGTTGGAAGCATGTGTAGGAGAAAGAATAGATGCCAAGGCTAGGCGAGGAATAGTGTAATTTCAAATTATTGGGCCAATGTCAAGCAGCAGGAAGCCAGTGGATGGCCACGGACCGGAAACAAGAAATCCACTCAAGGCAGATTCGAGAAGCAAGAACGCCTAACCCAACACTTGCAGTCACAAGTACACGGTAATCCTTGGAGGGGGTTTGGGGCCTTGGGCCACCCCCCTGTGCCCTTATGCCCCTGTGGTGGAGGTACTCTCAGCCAGTCCTACTGCGAAGAGGTACTTTCAACTGAGTGAACGGAAACGCAAGCTACTAACACACCGGGACCTGGAACAGCTGGAACAGGGAACCAGATGACAGCCAAGTCTGGTAACTTACAATCAGCTTATTGATGGAGAGGGAGAAGGACAGAGTGGGAGACAGTGTAAGTCAAGCTAGAGTCAGACAGATGGACAGGAAATTTTGGTGGAAATGTCAAGTGCTCGAGGTAAAGTGCCTTTCTGAGGCTAACACTTTTTAGCATCTGCTTAGGGGTGATTCCGAGTCTAGAGTCTTACATGTAAGCAGGCAGACCCAAGACAAGAATAGACATCTATTTACTCCATTTGGGGGAGAAGACGCTTTGTACTATGAGGAGCATCGTCAAGTTGTAGAGAATTGTTGTCCGCTGAGATGATGGTGGACCAAGAAGGGATGGATGCTATGCGATGCTGGATCGGATGTTGGAATTTGGATGCCCAGTCCTGTCAGGATAGGAAGCAAATGCCCGCCGAGATGACCGCTGAGCTCCCCTCACCAGTACTAGCACCAGTGACAATGACAGTCTCGTCAGATTTCGAGTCGTCGGGGTGCATTATCTGGATAGACTGGATTGTGCGTGTTCGAAACAAGACCCCTATCTACCCCTCCGACCGGCCGTTTCCCGCCCGTTTCTTCGACCTCTGACCATCATGCACTAGCAAAGCAAGGTTTCTGCAAAAGGGCCCTCTTCTTGCTGCCTAGATGTTTTATTAGTCGGCATGCCTGGGTCCACGATGCTAACAATGTCAATGTCGAGACTCCCAGCACGAGCTTATTACAATTTACCTGCCAGTATCAAATCCCATCCATCCAAGGCCCTCCCTTGCGTTACTACTACCACAACAGTGTTTGAGTCTTGCTGGCACGGCTGGATTGGTTGTTGGCGCCCTCCGTACGGACGGGAGACGCAGAGAGGAGGACCTTGCTTCTAAAGATTATCTGCGCATCAAACCGTCTTTTGCTTTTCGCATCTGAGCATTCGCATTCTCGTCTCGTCGCATGTATCACAAGCAAACAAGCAAGCAAACACGCACATGCACGCACCGAGCCCGTCCTCAACAGTCATCAGCAGCATCTGTCAAAGGCTGGCGAGCGGACCTAGCTCCAAGCTACACCCCAAAGTAATGGTTGGGACCTTCTGAGCTTTGGACACGGAGCAACGTCCTTGATTGCTGCTGATTACTTTACCTTGGTAAGGTGGCAAGCAAAGGGCCAACTTATCGTCTGACTGAGTCTGACTGAGAGCTCCGAGAAGCTACGATAGACGCTGACCTGTATCCGTACCCGTACAGCCAACTAGTCGTCTAGATCCCTGCAGCGCAAAGAGAGGCAGAAGATATTTTTGGATTTTACCTGTCGGCTGGTAGCATACCATCGTGCCGGATCGCAGTCTGCTCCACGTCTTTGCACGCGCGGCCAACGTACACTTCAACCAGAAAGCGACGAAAGACTGACAAGTACGTACGAGAGGTACCTTGGTAGGTAGCTCCCATCAGAGAAGGAGCTGTTATTGCTCTGTACCCGGGAAACAAAGAAGCCCAGCACCCCAGCGTGGAAGTGACAGCACCTTAGAGTAAGGTACTGCGTACACTCCAAGCGCGGATCAGAGCAAGCAGCAAGTGGAAAGCACCAACAATCCATCACCTAAGCGCATGCCAATCCGAGTCGGAGCGCGCCGTTGCAGAGCACACACGCAGAGGTACCTCGACCTGACCCAACGTTGGGACTCTCAAGTCCGGAATACTTTGTTCCGGCACGCATCTCAGGCACAACTCCAGGTACAATCCCACCTCGTGGTACCACCTTTCCACCAAATCAAAGACACCGGCCGAAAGATCCATCCTCAAACGTGCACAGCCTTGTGGGAACCAGCCAGATTGGGCCGCTCGGGTGGATCCCAGCCAGCCAACCAGGTCGCCCGTCAACCACCTCACCCTGCACCTCACACCTCGCTGTCCCACCGTCACCGTCCACACTCCCCTCCCCTCCGCTCCCCTCCCCTTCCCACTCAAGGTACGGACAGGCTCCCGAGTCCCAAGTCCCAAGTCTCTCTCCTCCTTCGAATCCCAAGTCCTACCTACTACGCTCTATTACCTACCCTCCCTCAGACCCCAATTCCACACACCGTGGGCCTGCCCTGGTGCCGGGTCTCTCAGTCCGGTCCCCTCCTGTCCTCGCTTCCCCATCTCAACTCCTTCTTCGCACACTGTGGCACATTACCACTCAATCTCCCGCCGCGCTACGCTATTCTCTCCCTCTCTCTCCAACGCCCCCAAAACGTCGCCAAACCCTCTTCACTTCCAGTCACCACCTTCATCCGTCTCCGGCGTCGCTACTTGACCCTCTACTCATCGCTGTCACTCAGTTACACTCATCCACACAAACTACCATTGCGCAAACCTATTCGCGACAGCGAATAACATCTCGTCGTCCGCGACTGTACCCCCGCCGCCTCCAGTTTGTGTGCCGTCAGCTCGCGCGTCAGCACAGCCCCAGGGCGGTGCGGTGCCTGAAAGGCTGACTTGTGAACTGCCTCGCCCCGATTCTAAAGACAGCAACACACAACACACATACTCCCGCAATCGCATCCACGTACACACGACATCCCTCCATCCCGAGTACCGACATCCATTTACATCATGGATCAACAAGGCCAGCGCGGTCGCTCACCGTCTGCGGGGCATCAACAGCCTCATATAAGACATCCTTCGCATTCTCCGTCTCCGAATCCCTTCCAGCCCAATACCGAAGCATCAATTGGTCTCGGTCTCGGCTTGGATCAATCTGCAACTCAAGCCTTCAACGGAGCCGCCTCCGCCGACTTCTCCAGCTTTAATAACACAAACAATTTCCTCAACGGCCAGCAACCCAACCAGCAGTCTTACAACCAGCCCGGAGCTGCCTTTGCGAACCAGAACCAAGCCGGCTTCCTCGACCCCAACAGCTTCCCCTCCGGCGACTTCGCCCTGTTTCCCAACGCCGGCCAGAACGACCAGCAGTTTACCACCGGTGTCTTCGACCAGAGCCTCAACCCCGGTGACATGAACAACATGGCTATGCCGCAGAGCCACCACTCTCCTACACCTCCCCACCTCCTCAACCCGGACCCCCACCAGACTCCCTCCGCACACCAGTCCCCGGCCTTCAACCAGCACCAGTTCTCTTCGCCGCCCTCGGGCGCGGGTCACTCCAGACATGCCTCCCTTGGTCCCGAGGCCGCTCTCCTGCCGAACCAACTGAATGAATGGAGCCAGCCTCAGTTTCGAGGCCACCGGAGATCCCCGTCCGAGTACTCGGACGTCTCTTCCGCTGCACCGTCTCCGAACTTGGTGAGCGCCGACAGCTTTGATGGAATCGACCAGAGTCATTCGCCCATGCAGCGACCCCAAGATGCTGGTCTCTACCAGCAGATTCAGGGTTTCGACAACTTCACGATCTCGGACCCCGCCCTGGGCAGTCCTAACCTCCAAGGGCGAAGCCCCTCCCATAGCCCGGCCATCTCCCCGCGCATCCTCCCTCAGTCGATGCCCGAGCTGAACCAACCAGCCAACTTTGGCCTGCAAGCACAGAATGCCGGCTTCGTCAGTGGTACTGGCTACACCGGGCAAGAAGCGTTCCCGACTCTGCAACAGCCGGAGATGCCCCAGGCACCGGCCATCAACATCGAGTTCGCGCCCACGGCAAGACAAAACAACTTCGAACAGCCCAAGAACCAGATGGATCAGGATTCCCTCACGCCGCCAGAGCGAGGTAAGGCACCGTGATGGTATCAAAGTTGACACGTCGGGACTAACAGTACCAATAGGCCGCCCGCGATCCAGACCCCGCGCAGTGACAGATCCCTTCAACAGCTCCGGAGGAGGTATGGTGCGGCAAACCTCTGCCGGCAGCTTGTCGCCTCATCTAGGATCTGATCTTTCCGGCCGAGACTCATCACGATCGCTCTCCCCGCTCGATCGGGGAGCTGTAAGCCCTAGTCGCAGACGACAATCTACCTCAGCCGTGCCAAACAACGTTATCGCGCTTAGACTGGCGGATCCTGAATATCAAAATGCCCAGGACAACGGAAACTCGAAACGTGTTCAGAAGCACCCGGCAACATTCCAGTGCACCCTTTGCCCCAAGCGCTTCACTAGAGCCTACAACCTTCGGTCTCACTTACGAACGCATACAGATGAGCGTCCCTTCGTCTGCACAGTTTGCGGCAAGGCGTTCGCGAGACAGCACGACCGCAAGAGACACGAGGGTCTGCATTCTGGAGAAAAGAAGTTTGTATGCAAGGGAGACCTCAAGGCTGGTGGTCAGTGGGGCTGTGGTCGCAGGTTCGCGCGTGCCGACGCGCTTGGCCGACACTTCCGATCAGAGGCGGGTAGAATCTGCATTAAGCCCTTGTTGGACGAGGAAATGCTCGACCGACAGCGCGCGTGGCAGGAGCAGCGGATGCAGCAACAAAACATGCAAAATATGGCGGCCGGTATGGGCATGGAGCCAGGTTATCCGATGGACGCCGGTGGGCAGTACATGCTGCCGGCTGCTCTGTTGGCCCAGTACCCGGCGTTGGCCCAGATGAACTGGTCCGCGCAAGACGCGAGTAGCGGTCTCGAAGACGACATATCGGGCCGTTCGTCATTCGATGCCAGTGACTACGAAGGCGACGACGGTGGGTATGTCAGTGGACCGGGTACAGGTTTCGGAGAAGGCGGCATGGGTCAAAATTTTGGTGAAGTCGGATATGCCAGTGATTATGGTGGTCGGTAACAGGGTGATTTAAGTTCACTTGCCATTTTCTTTGTTTTTATGTCTTCTTTGCGGCCAATTGCCTGCGACACGGTTTATTCTTCACTTATTTTCTGGGGATGTGGCGCTTCATGAACAAGCGGATGTACGGGAACAGCGTTAGCAGCGCCCTCAGAGGACGTTGCGCGGATGGTCTGGTTACAGGATTTAGAACGCGTTGTTATAGATACCATTATGACGAAACCTTTTTTACATTTATACATGCTGGCGCCAACACCCTCATCTGATGAAAGCAAGTGCGGCATGGGATTGTGCCCCTCCGAGGGGCGATAACTGGATGGAGGGGTGATTATCGGCGATAAGATTGTTGTCACTGCATCGCGGGGTCGGCTGTGGCGTACCCCTCACTCTGACTTGACCGCCAAATAATAGTACGTATTGCCACGGAGGCTGGCATTCCCAAGGTGGTGGATAGATCGCAGAAAGCATCCGGTTCCAATGGATGCGATGGATCGTATCCGGCGCCGGAATCTGATAAAAGTGAGCACCCGGGGGTTACCGTCGTTCGTTGTCCGCAAGGTAAAGTACCTATGTAAGCAGCAGAGGGCACCGTTACGCCGCGGCGCCGAGAAAGAGGAGACCTACGGATACCTACGGACGGCCCAAGCTCCGGGCCTCGAATTTCTAGCAACAAGTCCGGGGTATTACATAGCTTTCCCAAGTCGCCGCGGGCTCTTCGGCTTCCCACCCCCCAACCAACCACCTTTAGGAAATAGAGACTCGGGAACGAGAAACATCCGCGATTTACCAAGGAAGATCTGGGTGCATCGCGCGCCCGCGTTACCAAGAACAATGTCTGTTCCGCGGGTTACTTACTTTGAGTACCTATGCTGAGAAGTGCGGGGCAGAAGGCAAAAATCGATGATGCCGGTGGGAATAACACACACGTACATCTCGAGCTAGTGTGGATAACATGGTTCCGTTCATCACCGCATTGGCTTGGCTGGGACATGGACCCCTACCTTTACGTTGCTGTCTTGGTCTCCTTGACAGACCTTAGGTAGCTACGCAAGCATTTGCAAGCTGGAGGGGAGGCCCGGCTTGACGATGGGCAAGGAGGGGTTATCGGTATCGGGGCAGAGGAGCTTTTTTTTCCCCCTGACGACGCAAATGCCGACTGGATTGTTACTTAAAGGGGCTTGTTGATCTAGAGCTTTTGCGATTGAATTGGGTTTTTGGATACCAAACTAGATACCCCCTCCAAATAACAACACTTTACAACTTTCACACCCATACAGCTATCAACACAGAGGTAAGTAGGCAGTGACTCGCTTTCCACACGACACTTTGACAAGGACCAATACTGACACATCGGCACTCCAGATACCTACCTGCTCAGACGACACACGCACACAATGGCGACAAACCAAGCGGTAAAGACAATCGAAGCGGGCGTCGCAAAGGTGGTCGACGCTCCGATCCCCACCCTCCCGGCCGACGACTATATCCTCGTCAAGACGACGGCCGTGGCGATCAACCCGACGGATTGGAAGCACGTCGACCTCGCCGACAAGGCGGGCTGCGTCGGCATCTGGGTCGGGTGCGACTATGCCGGTGTTGTCGAGGAGGTGGGCAAGGGCGTGACGAAGGACTTCAAGAAGGGGGATCGGATCTGCGGGCCTGTGAATGGATCGTGAGTTTTTTTTTTTTGTTTTTCTCGGCCTGGCTTCCTTGAAAGAAGGGAGGGAGAGAGACAGAGGAGGCTGACGTTGGAGTGCCACAGCAACGCTCTGAGAGAGATTGACGGTGCGTTCGCAAAGTACATCGCCGTCAAGGGCGACGTGCAGATCAAGACGCCGGAGAACATCTCGGACGAAGAGGCCGCGACGCTCGGCATCGCCGTCACCACAGTCGTATGTCTACTTCATCTACCACCCCCCTCCCCATTACAGCCAACTTCTTCTTCTTCTCGGACAACCTTTGCTAACCACGTACCAAAAACACAAAACAGGGCCAGGGCCTCTACCAAGGCCTCAACCTCCCCCTCCCGACCGAGCCCACGACCGCCACGCCGGCCCCCGCGATCCTCATCTACGGCGGCAGCACGGCGATGGGCATCTCGGGCATCCAGTACGCGAAGCTCTCCGGCTACCGCGTCCTCGCCACCTCGTCCCCCCGCAACTTTGACTACCTCAAGTCGCTCGGCGCCGACCAGGTCTACGATTACAAGTCGCCCACCGTCTCCGAGGATATCCGCGAGGCGACCGGCGACGAGCTCACGCTGGCGTGGGATTGCCAGTCGACCAACGAGAGCGTCGTCCTGGTGGCGAAGGCGCTGAGCAGCGCGAGGGGAGGCGTGATCGGGACCCTGTTGCCTGTTGATAAAAAGGTCGTCAGGGAGGCGAATGACAAGGTGGAGGTGAGGATGAGTTTGTATTATACCGTTTTCGGGGAGGAGTTTGGATACTTTGGTGAGGCTTCCCCTTTTTTTTTTGTTCCCCCTCTGTTTTCCTGTTGTCTGGGCCCTGTGTCGCGGGGCATCTCATCTTCCCTCTCTTCTGATTCCCCCCCCCAAAGACTAACGGCACCGTCATCTTACAGGCAAGAGGGACCCCGTACCGGAAAACTACGAATTCGGCAAAAAGTTTTGGGAAATCAGCCGCGGGTTGCTGGCCGAGGGCAAGCTGAAGCCCATCCGCGTCGTCAAGAACCAAGGGGGCAGCGGCCTCGAGGGCGTCGTTGTCGGGTTGAAGGAGTTGAAGGAGGGCAAGGTCAGCGCCGGCAAGCTCGTCTACACCATTTAAGAACTCAAGTAGCGATGTTCCCCTTATTCTTGTGCAGATGAAGATTTTCGGTATCAACTCAGTCTGCGTAGACGATGGCCATCATGAGAAGAACATTACGTGTATTTCTCAAACAGTACTGCCTCCCTTTAGCCTTCTCCTGGAAATTGCCTGGGACCATCTTCCTATGCCCTGCTTCTTCTGCTGAAAAGCGAACTCGCAACAAATCATGTGGTATCTAAAAGCACTTCCTTACCCAAATAAACGCCAGACCCTCCCATCCTCCTCGCCGTCTTTTCCAATATCAGAGACGGGTGGGGCCCCAACTACATCTTGGCCCTCCCAACCTTTTGCGCAACCTCGTCAAGCACCTTCTGCACCATATCACGATGCGCCCCCTCCATCTGCCCCTTGACAAGCGGCATCAACATCCGACTTGTCTCAACCCTCGTCGTCTCGACGAGATCGTAGTCTCCCTGCACATACCCTTCCAGTTTCCCGCCATGCTCTCCGGGCCACCGCTCCTCCGGCCTCGGCACGACGAGCCACTCGGACCAGACCCGCACCCCGCCGGGGGCCTCGGCGCGGGACCGCAGGCCGTTGGGGATATTCTGCAGCACGGCGGGGAAACTGATTTCTTTTTTGACGCCCGGGACCACCGTGACTTTTTCGTAGACCTTGTAGCAGGCGAGGCGGGAGCCGTCTTCGAGGAAGTGGGCGTCCGAGACGACGCTCGCGAGAGGGACGGGGACCTTTTCGTAGCGGGTTACGAGGGGTTGGTGGCGGATTACGGGGGATTGGGATTGCAGGGTTTCGATTACGGCTTCGGGGGGGAGGATGCTGGGGAGGGGGATGCGGATCGTGAGGCTGTGGTGGGCTGGCATCTTTCCTCTTGTTTATGGTGTAAATGATCTGGTGTTGGCGTCGTGGGTTCGGAGGTCCCGTTGGTTTGGTGGTGGTGGTGGTGGTGGTGGTGGTACACACCCCGGATGTCGATGACGATGACGATGGCGGGGCCGGAGCCGTATGCGACTGGTGGTTCTCTTCTGGAGGTAACTTCGTTGAACAACTCCGTAGAACAACGGGAGCTGGTGAACCGTCGTCTGGACGGTATTGAAGAACAATCCGAGGTGGTGACAGCAATAGGGAAAGTTGTACAAAGTGGCAATGTCGTCGGTCGTGCGCCCCAAAAAGATCGATATCTCAGTCAGCTTGCTTCCCTGTCTGGTTCAGGATCAGCGGGGATTGGGGTCTCGGGTCCGCTTCTTCTTTCTTTGTCTCGAGGACGTGGGCGGAGGAGGAGGAGATAAACCTTGTCCTCTATAATGAACCACGTTTCCTTCCGAGGAACAGTCAATAGAGAGGAGAGGTAAGGTAAGGATTCAAGGGATAGATGATTAGTCGTGTAAAAGGTATGGAAGGGGGCGCGAGCGGCCAGGACGTCTTTTGTTTCGTCTGATGGTCTGTTCCCACACGGGGTGGGCGGTTGGTTGTCCCGACTTTCCCACCACGGACATGGGCAGTCAGGAGGAAAAAGAGGGATGGATGGATGGTTGGATGGATGCACTAGCATCTGATGCCGAAGTTTTGTCCGTGTGTGGAACTTTGAGAAAGGCTGAAGCAAACAGGCAAACAAAGTCCTCCAAAGAGGAAACGACGTCACCCGAAGGATTGGAACCACTGGGGAGCTTAGCAAACACGGGTGACAACCTTGCCGAGTCTAGCGAGTTAGTGCAGGGAATAGTAGTATAGCACAGCTCAGAAATGCTCCAAGGATCGGCTGGTAATGGGCCTATTGGCCAGCAGAGAGGTTCGCGTGAGATTTTGAGGCTTGTCTGAGCCTGCTGACGGTCGTAGCAAATGGTCAGGTAAGCATAACTATCCGTATCCGTAGTCGTGGCTGGACAGCGTAGACAAGGAGCCAACTCTTTTAGGGCTGGATGTTTTTTTCTTTTCTGCTGCGGTTTTGATACCAATGGCACTCCGATGTTGAAGGATGGAGAAGCTGAAACGAGTGGTGATACTATTATTAACCCCTGGCGAAGGAGCCACTGCCTCGGACTGAGTTGCTTGTATCCTTACGTTTGTGAGAGCTCCAGTTGAGGCGCGACCCCCTGGACCCTGAATACCTCAGATAAGCCTTCGGCGACTGTGGCTGAGCACCGATAACTCTCCGAATGTGGGGCGGTGCATCGGCCTCATCACAATGAGGTTGATCGTCTGCAACTTGCAAGCGCAATCGCAAACGTGGGGTGATCAGAAATCATCCAGAAGAAGTCATCATGCCCAACTATGATGAGTTTGTGATGATTTCTTCTACTTTCCTGACGTTCTTCAGGCTGACGACCAAGATGAGGTCGCCGAAGATGGAGGCGCTTACGGCAATACGACAAATTGGTGTCTGTTTGGTGAGATCGTGAGAATCGACTCATTACCCGCTTAGTCCTCGTCTGCCGCGACAAATGCGACTTTGCGTTCCTCGTCGCTATCTATCCAGATGGAAATGCGCAGGTCGATCCTAGCTCATACAAGATTGGGCATACTGTTGCAGTCTTGAATACCACTACCAAGAAATTCTTGGATGGAAGGGAGGGAGTTCGCGTGGAGAAGCTGGAAACTTGTCGGGTCAGTCCTGCTTTCTCACTCATCATCTCAACCAATGGTGGCTTATTGACGCATATGGTACCTTAGGCCTTTCTTTTAAGACTGGCAGACCTTTACCAGATGAACACAGAGCTTGTCAAGTACACTGGAGGAATTGACGAGCAAAGTGACACTCGGCCGTGTCAAGCCTGTGGCAAGGAAGCACAGGAGCGCAAGAATTGTGGCGGCTGTGGTTACTACTACTATTGTGATACGGTACGTTACTGTCGACGTGCGATTTTGAACGTAAATGCTGACGAGCTGCAGGCGTGCCAAAAGATGGCCTGAGAGGGCAAGAACCACAAAAAGGAATGCAAGGTCCTCAAGAATCCCAATATGAGAATGCTGCTGAATCTCAAAGCCGCCACCCAAGCTCTCCGATTCACAGATTGATCTCGAAGTGGGAGTCTAGAGTAGGGCAACAAGGGACTGTCAACCTCATCCTCGTTGATTGCAACTGAGGCGATTCCCCGACAGGTGCCGAATGGTCCTCTTCCCTAGGGTACGATCTCCTTTGGTTGCCTCTGAGTCAACGTCACGCGATCTTAGACATGGCCGAAGAAGTACATGCGGCCTTATCGAGCTTCCATGGGTAGCTATTGATGCAGGTTCTCGGCTTCGCTTGATCGAGTTGCACCCGAGGGCTTATCTGTAGTTGATGCTCTGATGAATGCTGGTATGGCCAAAGACAAACAATTGAGCGTGAACCTAGAAAGTGTTTTGCCTACGAGACTCGTCAAGCAAAGTAATGATTTCATGGTACTACTTTGAAAAAGCATATCGCACCGCAAGCGCAATTCAATTCAGCCGATGACTCAATAGCCATCACCGAGAAAGACAAATTGCCTTCTGGGAATCGCACTCCAAGTCTTGATTCCGAAAGCGTCGACAGGGTTCTAAAGCATAAAGAGTCGAATCTGCAGCTGACCAAGTCAGAAATATTGCATTTCGCTGCGCTGTCTCCTCCATCGACCCATAGTTTCAACCTGACCAAAGACCATAGATGGCGGCCGTCGTCGCGGTGGCCAACTGTGGCCAGCTCAGGTCTGACCGCCAGAAGAAGCCGCGAGATGCTCGTAGTCCGTCCGAAAGGAATTGGTCTACACCGTCTGACACCTGCGTGTCAATTGATCGATGCTGCAGAATAAGCCGGCAGGCAGGTTGTGAGGGAGAGGCAGTATTTTTGTTGTTTAATGCCTGACGCCGGTCCTCAAGAAGTCTCCATTGTGCTTTAGTATCGTGACACAAGCGCATTATTTCCTCTGGGTCTCTACCTGAGTTACGCCAGGTACCCCAAACTGACACATTCCCTGTTTAGTGTTGAGGCTGTCTTGCTCGCCTTGGACTCTTCTGTCATTGAGACTGACAATGAAGACAGACGATGGAAATCTGCGGCATCCCGAAAGGTCCAGAGCCTACGGGTAGCCGTAGAGATGATAATTCAGCGTGGCTGGTTGGTGCGAAGTTCGCTCAGAGGTGGGTTGAGAAGTTGAAGCGGTGAGGGAGCCGCCATACCGCTTTTGGCGACACTCGTGGGATGAGTGGATAGAGATGCGCCATGCGATGATGGAGGTAGGACGCGTGTAGACGAAATGATCCAGTAGACAGATGAAGTCGCATCTCCTCAGACAGGGCCAGACTTGGGATGTGCATGAAGGGCATGTTAGCTCCCGATGCGCAGTGCAGCGCCGCAGGCCAGTGGCCCTGCGAGCACACCCGTCGAGATGCAAGCTGCTGGCGGCCCTGGCGCTGGTTCGACGATGACTGGACGCTCATCGGCCATCGTACAGATGGCAGATGGGGCCCTCGTGTATTTGAAAGGTACGAATACCAGGCCTAGGAGAGGTCATTCCATGCTAATAGGCGCATGGCTGCCCAGCCGGTAATGTATCGATACCTCACGGCCTGGTGCTTCGCTGCATCGATGCTAGAGCGTAGCAGGCTGGCCGAGCCGTTGTCCGCATGGCAACGCAACGTCTCGTCGACTGAAGGCGGCCTCTCCCTTTTCTTCCCTGACTTTGGGTTCGTCCCGCTTCCGTCACGACGGTCCTAAGTCTAGACGGGAGGGAAGGGTCTGAATGTGGTAAGTTGGCGTAGGAACCGAATGATGATGGACATGGTGACATGGTGTTGCCGCTTTTTCTTCTCTCCCCCGCGAGCTTGATGCGCCTGCATTCCATGCGTTGCCATTCAGATGCAGATGCGTAGGCCGCGCCTGCCTGTCATCAATAAATTCAATGGCATGGCTGCACGCCCTCTCTTCAATGCCCAATCCCGTTTGCCGCAGGCCGTGGGAAATGGGTAAGGGAGTCGAGTCTCAATAGTCCCCTTGCTTGGCGGGGTTGGTGTTAATTTGAAGGTACATGGGTAACCGCGGGCGAGTGGATGGAGGACCATGTACCTCCGCGATTGAGCGGTTTAGGCGATGAACCTCCGACCATCATCCAGGCCGTATGGATGCGAGAATTCGAGCAAGAAGCAAGGAAGACTGGTGCAGAGAGAGGCAAATCCGAGGAAAGACGAGGGAGCCCGGGTCTTACCGGATAAGGGCTTTTCTGACGGGAATTGTGATACACAGGGATATTGAGCAGTTCGAGACTTTGAGTATTGGTTGTGATAGTCGAGCTGAAAGAGATTTTTCTATGCGTTGGGGCGGTGGGTGGTGTTGAAGTTGTGTGGTTGACAGCAGCGCGTCATCATGAATAACATGGAAGACCGCAGCTTCGAGAAGGAAACTAGCATGTGGCAGCAGCGAAGACCCAAGCGGGAAAGGCTGGTGGTGGTGAGTTTTCCGTAGCAGGGAATAGGGATCAAGAGAGCCAACGCAGGTATGTGTAGGGTCCTTGGATCCTGCTAGCCAAGGAACCCGAGTCCAGACAGAGTTGTTTAATAGCTACTACCAAGATATTTTGTCAACCTCGAGACCACCGGTCAGGTATTATTATTGCCTTATGCCAGCGCTAGAAAGGTGCTTGCTCCATAGATACCTTAGATACTTGCGCTTGCCTGTGCTAAGATTGGGATGCAATTCTACGGAGACACACCGAAAAAGCCAAGAGCTCTTACTACAGTAGATAAGTAGGTACCTTGGAGAAAGAGGCAGAGTGACGGCATCAGGAAGGGAAGGCAGCAACAGCCTGTTAGGTAAGGTAAGGGAAGGAAGTAGAAGGTATCGATGTATCACACGTGAGAACGCAGCTGGTGGCGGCAAGGGCGTTTTACCTCAGAGCCGGTGCCTTTTCTACGGTTACCTTATGGAATACTGGGTAGGTACCTACGGTTCTTCCCCCCTCATTATCCAAATCCCTTCCTTGGGTACGGAGTATCCGTACCTTACTTTTCAATTTTTGTCCGCCCCGGTTCCGCTGCTTGTTCAACGTGGAATGGAAACGATACCTACACACCTGATATCCAGGACCTGCTGACCTCGTGGTTACCTAAACATTCTAGAGTCCGCCCTCGTGGCTCTTGCAGCGCGTACTAAGACTAAGAGTCCATGTACTCCGTCAGAGTGTGCTGCCCAAATGCCCACTCGAAGCGGACGGCATCCTGGAGAAATGGCATCACCTGGGCGGCAGGCTGAAGAGGAGGGAGGGGCTAAGGTGGTGTGAATTGAGTCAAACGACTCCGGCGTGCAGGGGGTGCCATCTTTCTGAGTCTCGAGACACTTGATATCACACTAACTCGGCCAATGAAGCGCCGAGGCCGCCCTTCTTAACCGACCACCCTGCCAGGGATCACCACTTTTTTGCAGACCTCCAGAGTGAGGTACTTTGAAGTTGTACTGTCACAGTCTGGTTAGTGCGTGGGTTGCTGCGCTTTTGCCGTGGCACCTCCTCCCCCTTCTGGGCTAAGCACCCAAGGTACCCATCATGGGCCATGCCGTTGCTCGGGATCTATCGCCATGTACATCACACATACACGTACACGAACACACGCACACACACACACACACACACACACACACACACACATACGGTCCACGGAGCGGGCCAGGGGAAGAAAAGGCGGCGAGCAAATGGGGGCGGGAACAGCGACAGCACCCAGACAGACGGAGGAGACGGAGGAGCAACCACGGGGAGACTGAGACTGGACGCGATGAAAGATGCGTGTGGATTGGTCCTGATAGGATGGTTTTGATGGATGATGGATGGGACATGGCTGGGCGGATGGATCGCATAGACGTGCATACAGCATCAATATCCATAATTATTCTTTCCGTCCTGCCTTACCTTTTACCTCGCTTTACCTTTACCTCACATAAGGCACGAAGTATGGAGTACTGACTCTGTCTCTTGCTGTCTGCAGACTCACCTTATTATTTTGCCCTTGTATTCCTCATTTGGATTGTTGACTCCCGTCTAGCATTAGTTCTTGTGTACACCTTTCCTGTATACAAGGCGGTCGCCGCCGCTCATGTTTCTCTCATCTGTTTCTGCTATTCTTGCGTCGTCCTCTGTTGCACGACAGGCCGAAACTTCTGATCAATTTCGCTGAAGAAGAGAGCAGAAGGACGAGTCGCCCTCGGTGGAAGAAGGCGTACATCAAGGTAACATATTGTAAACTAATTGCAGAGTAGGCAAGCGGGCTATTCATTCACAACAAATACATCCCGTTCAGTCAATTCCCTCAACGTCTGGCTGGCCGGGCCCGGGCTCGACAATAGGACGACGGCGTCTTACTCACACCACCGTCCGAATCGCATCTCCGAACAAGTACGGAATACTTTTGCTCAGCTCACGAGTCGGACCCAAACAAAGCACGACCTCAAGGGCATCACCAATCCCAAGTGCAGGCTGTGGCCTACGCTGCCTGCCTCCTGCAAGATATCTGGCGGTCTGCAACCACATCCATCCACCTATTCGCCTTCGCCGCGACGATCTAGCGTCAACGCGCCGACCCATTGGCTCCCTGTGAAGGAAGTGGCTTGTAAGAAATGATTTTTTTTCGTAACTCTCCTCTCCTTTTTTGCCGGGTCACATCCAGCGCTCCTATTGCTCCTTTCTTGCATATGGCCAATTCAACCTCACCTCCTCCAGAGGGAGTCATCTTCTTAGAAAAAGGGGCGATAGGAACGGCTTGGAAGCCGTGGTTAAACACAATCAAGAAACTGGCGGGTTGACCTCTCTCTCTTAGGACAGCTTCAATCCAAGTCTATTTCCTCGGCGATCAGACGCGACGGCGGCGACTTTCTCAAGCTGTAAGCCTGTGACACCAAGAGCTACATCCCTGCTATCGCTTCGACTTGGCCCGTTATCGTCCAATTCTCCGGCAATTCTGAGCAGGGGACCAGGAACATACCTGTAGCCAAAGGCGGGAGAAAAAAGAAGAACAAGAAGAGACAGGCGAGTGTATTTCCTCCTCCCTGCCCTGGCATATCTTATCCATCCGCTGGTCCCCTCTTCTTCCCTGCCCCCAATTCACCTAACCCTTCACCACCCCCAGATCCTAGGTCCCTTGCGCCGCCGCGTACCGCAAAAGTGCTCCGTCTCTTTTGCGGCCACCCGAGCCGACCATCCCACCACCCAGCCTGCGCAGTTACATCTCCCACCATAGTAGCAGTCACTGGAGGTTTTTTCTTTTCTTTTCTTCCTTACTGACTTGCACCACCTGTCTCAGTTCGCCTCGGTCGTACGAATACACAGTCTGGAGATTTATATCTGCAGGCGAACTCCTGTCAAGTCCTGTCCAACTCTCGTTTCATCGACCCGCCCCCTCCTCTCGCCAGCACGAACCCGCTTGCTTTCCCGCTACACTGCCTACAACGACTGCTACGATTACGACGACCACGACGAAAACCACGAGCTGTACACCGATATACCCTCTTCAGCTGCTTCGCTCCTCCGAACCGATTTAGCTTCCATGATTCTCACACCAAGCTGTAGCAACACGAGCTCAACTTCTCAACATGGCGGCGGTCGCGGTGGCCACATTTTCCCCATCAGGGCGGGCAGAAGGCGCATATCGATGGGAGCCAACCCAGCATTCGACGACAACTGGCTGGGCTGAGGAAGATGTGCGCATCCGCTTGCGCATGATCGCCCGCGCCTGGGAATCCGATTCACACAATGCTCAGGTACGACCCGAAACTTTTTCGTCTGCCGTCATGGTTTTCTCCAATTCCTGTCTACTCTGGAATTTTGTGCGCGCCGGCGCCGTTCCAGCCTGGACGCCTCAGCGCTCGTCCCCAAGTCTAACGGCTTACCGTTCGCTGCCATGGCTGGTCCGGAAAGCCTTTGGACGGGAGTCGGGGGACGTGAGGGGCATGACGCCGTCTCACCCCCCATTCCACTAACACATGCCTTTCAGATGAACTTCTGAGCTAATCTGATCCGCTGACATCCCTAGATTTCATCCCATCATCGACGACCCCTCAAAACCACATGCAACATCTCAACTCCGTTGAAAGCACCAGAATGCGGCCCGCGATGGTTGCGACGATTTGAAGCGCCCTCTGAACCGTCCGAGCCATGCGAGCAAGTCATGGATCCGACGAACACTGGCGGTTTTGCAAGTCGACGACCATCGGACTTTTCCTTCTTCACCCAACCGCAAACTTCAAGTGCAGAACAACGACAGCGACGTAACGGCGACGCCATATTTAGCGATCCCACACGCGACTTTCTCATCGACTTCGGTTCCGAGGAAGGATTCATGCAAGCGGCGAAGAAGAAGAAGAACAAGGCGCCAGCTAAGGCGCCGGCGGCAAACAACAATAACGATGACGATGGCGCGAAGAAGGAAGACGAAGGCGCCGGCGATGGAGGTGATCAAGGCGGTGACGCAGGTAACGACGGCGGAGCTGCGGGCGACGGCGATGGAGGCGACAAAGAGACACCGCCACCAGCAGACGATCCGCCCCCGGAAGATGACTGGGGCTTCGCAACCACGAAATCCAAGAAGAAGGGCAAAAAGGCCGACGAACCGGCACCTGATTCATTCGATGAAATAAAACTGGACGACATAGGCAGCGGCAACGGGTCGCTAGACATCAATTTCGGCTCAACGGAGACCAAGAAGTCAGGGGGGTTTGGTTGGGGATTGGGAGCGACAAATTGGACAACAACAGGCACGGGACTAGGGAACACATGGGATTGGTCTGGCGCTAACAAGAATGCAGCCACAAGTACGCCGGCAGAGGCAAAGGAAGACGCCGATTCAAATCCATGGGGCTCCAAAAGCAAAACGAAGAAGAAGAGCACGACACTGGGGTTTTCGTTCGGCGACGATACACCAGCTGACCCGGAACCGGCACCCGACCCGCCGCAGGAGAAAGAGGAGAAAGATGACCCGTGGGGTTTCGGCACTGCGACTACAAAGAAAGACAAGAAGAAGAAGAAAGCCAGTATCTGGGATGCGGTGGAAGAAGATAAGGCTCCTGAACCAGCGAAGGAGGAGACACCTGCAGACGACCCATGGGGTTCGTGGGGCGGTACCACCAAGAAGGGGAAGAAGGACGACCCTCCCAAAGAGGAGCCGAAAGACGACCTGTGGGATACCTGGGGACTTGGTAAGAAGAAGAAGAGCAAGGACGAGCCGGCCCCTGAACCAATCCCTGAGCCGGCGCCCGATCCGCCAGCCTCTAACGAGGATCCTTGGAGTTGGGGAACATTATCGGGGAAGAAGAAGAAGAAAGGTCTAGTCGACCTTGAACCTGAACCTCCCCCGGTGGTCGAACCAGAGCCGGAACCCACCCCGCCGCCAGAACCCGAGCCAGAGCCCGTTGATCCATTCGCAGGCTTGACCAATTCACAGAAGAAGAAAAAGAAGAAGGAGATGGCTGCCGCCGCCGCCGCTGCCGAGGCCGAAGCTGCTAAAGCCGCCGAGGCCGCTGCTGCTGCCGAAGCAGAGGCCGCCGCCGCCGCCGAAGCGGAAGAGGCTGCCCGAAAGGAAGAGGAGGAACGACTAGCAAAAGAGGCTGAAGAGCAAGCCGCCAAAGAAGCAGCAGAAGCCGAAGAGGCGGCGAAAGCAGCGGAAGCCGCCAAAGCAGCAGCTGCGGACGACTTTGGATGGGGTGTATCAACTAAAACCAGCAAGAAGAAGAAGAAGGGCAAGACTGCCGATCCTGAGCCGGAACTCATTCCTGAACCTGCGCCGGAGCCTCCTGCTGCTGATCCAGAGCCAGAACCACCAGCGGACGACGACTGGGCAAGCTTCGGCCATTCCAAGAAGGACAAGAAGAAGAAGAAGGGCAAATTGGCGGATCCCGAACCTGAACCCGAGATTGTACCAGAACCGGCGCCTGATCCCCCAGCCGAGGAAGCGGAGCCGGAACCTGAAAAGAAGGATGACGACGACTTCTGGGCCGCTGCTACTAGTTCGAAGAAGGACAAAAAGAAGAAGAAGGAGGCCGAAGCTGAAAAGTCCAAAGACGACTCTTGGGGCATCTGGGGCCTTTCCTCCAAGAAAGACAAGGAGAAGGAGAAGGAGAAGGAAAAAGACAAGGAGAAGGAAAAGAAGAAGAAGAGCAAGGAGGCCGATAAGGAAGCTGAGGAACCGAAGGCTGAAGTGGTCGAAGAGGATGAATGGGCCGGCTTGAGCAAGTCGGACAAGAAGAAGAAGAAGAAAGATGCCATGGCCTTGGTTGAGTTTGGCGGAGAGGACGAGCCTACCCCTGCCGAGGAAGCCCCTCCTGCCGTGCCAGATATTGCCGACCCCCTGGATGGCGGCGGCTTCTTCAGCTCATGGAACATCGGCGGTAAGAAAGACAAGAAGAAGAAGGGAGCCGACACCGACGAAGGCGCTTCTATGAAGCCCGATGCAATCGAGGAGCCCACAGATGACATCTGGGGAACCTCGTCCTCCAAGAAGAAGAAGGACAAATCCAAGAACGAGCCCATTGAAGTCGTGGACGAGGAGCCCAACGTGGATTCCGTTCAACCGGATTCCGTCGAGGAGACCAAAGACGACGATGACTGGGCCGGCTGGGGATCCTCCAAGAAGAAGTCTAAGAACCGTAAGGACATACTCGCCGACCCTCCACCGGAAGCTCCCACCCCTCCCTCATTGGACATGGCTGAGCCTGTAGCAGAAGCAGAACCTGAGAAAGAGAAATCCAGCTTTTGGGGCGACATGACCTCTTCCAAGTCTAAGTCCAAGGATAAGGATAAAGATAAGGAAAAGGAGAAGTCCAAGAAAGAGCCCAAGCTGAGCGAGAAGGAGCTCAAGAAGCTCGAGAAAGAAAAGAAGAAGGCTGAAAAGGAAGAGGCAGCGCGGTTAGCCAAAGAAGAAGAGGAGGCTGCCGCCGCCGCTGCTGAGGCCGCTGCCAAGGAAGAGGAAGAACGCCTTGCACAAGAAGCAGAGGAGGCCGCGGCAGCGGAGGCGGCTGAGGCGGCCGAGAAGGCGCGAATCGAGGAAGAGGAGGCCGCAAAGATTGCGGACGAGGAGGAGCAGTTCGCTGCCTTGGAGGCCAAGAAGCTCAAGAAGGGCAAGTTGACCAAGAAGGACCAGGGTGTTTACGACACGCTCAAGGCATCGATCGACGAGCGCGCTGCCGCATCCCAAGCTGCTGCGGATGCCGAAGCCGCCGCCGCCGCCGAAGCTGAAGAAGCCGCTCGCATCGAAGAGGAAGAGCGACTCGCCAAGGAAGCCGAAGAAGCTGCTGCCAAGGAAGCCGAGGAGGAAGCTGAAGCAGCGGAGAAGAAAGCGAAGAAAAGCTCCAAGTCGGAGAAGGAGTCCAAGTCCAAGTCGAAGAAAGACAAGGAGAAAGAAAAGGAGAAAGAGAAGGAGAAGGAGAAAGAGAAGGAAAAGAAGGAGAAGAAGGACAAGAAGGACAAGAAAAGCAAGGACAAGGAGAAGGAGAAGGAAGAGGAGCCGGAGCCGGCACCAGTCGAGGACGTCGATAATGAGGACGAGCTGGCCGACATTGAGCTGACCGAGGACCAAATCGAGGAGCTCCTGGCCGATCCCGAGCCTGAGGAAGCTGCTCCTCCTCCACCACCCCCGGCGCCGGAAGTAAAGCCATCCAACGATGCCTTCAGTTTCTGGGGCGTTGGCACTAAGAAGTCGAAGAAAGGTATGTGGCCTCAGGCTCGCAGCCAATCTCCCTTCACACCACCACACCACCAAGTCTCACCAAGCCTATTGGAAATGAGACGCCTCAATAGGCGTCACCTGAGATTACACTGCTGACTCATCTCCGCATAGGTCTAGAAGGTGCGAATCTCGGTTGGAATGACACGACTACATCATCCGCCACAAACAACGATGCCCTGTCCTGGATGCAACCGTCTACGGCTCGAAAGGGCAAAGGAAGCAAGATTACTGACAGATTAAAAGCGTTTGAACCGATCCCGCCGCCAGAAGACGAACCTGAGCCCGTTGTAGAGGAACCTGTTCCCGAGGAGCCAGCACCAGAAGAGCCGGTCCCGGAGGACCCTCCACCCGAGGAACCGGAACCCGCACCACCAACTCCTCCCCCCGTCGTCTTGTCGAAGGAAGAGAGAAAGCGACTGAAGAAGGAGAAGAAGCGCGCTGCCGAAGCTGCATCCGCGCCTCCACCGCCACCGCCTCCTCCTGTTGTCGAGGAGCCACCGTTAGTCGATGTTGAAGAACCAGCTGACGAGAACAAGTCTTCGGAGCCGCCTGGAGCTTTCCCCGTCGAAGAGGATGAGAACGAGATCATCGAAGTGATTGAAATGCCAGTGGAGAAGAAGAAAAAGAAGAGTAAGAAGAACAGAGATAGGGACATACTCGCCGAGGAAGTCCCTCCTCCACCAGCTCCACCACCGCCTCCGGCCGTCCCTGAGGCTCCTGAAGACCCTGTGCCAGAGGAAGAACCCGCCGCCGAGGAAGAGCCCATCTCACCTCCGCCTGAGCCGAAGTCGAGCAAGAAGGACCGGGCAAAAATCAACCGAGAAGGTTCCTCGTGGGGTATGTGGTCGGCTTCACCTCGCGAGAAGGAGAGAGACCGTGATCGTGACCGCGACAGAGACCGGAAATCCAAGTCAAAATCCGAAAGACGCGAAAAGAAACACGCTTACGGCGACGAGGAAAAAGTCAAGACTTCCTCCAAGGGTTCAAGCTCCGGCAAGGGCGACCGTGCCGATAGAGACGTTGAGACACCAGCACGGCCGAAACTCATGTCGATGTTCAGCACCCCGCCCATTTCCCGGACGACATCCACCCGGGACCGGCGACACAGACCGTCCCGTCGTCATTCAGTCGACGCGAGCGGGTTGGTGTCGCCACCTCCCGAGGAAGCCCCTCCACCTCCCATGTCCTCCAAAGCCGCCAAAGTGCTTGGAGTCGACAAGTCCAGCAGCAGGCGCCGCAAGCGCGATCATATTGTGGACGAAGACATTGTCATGGTCGGCGCCAATGGTGACGGCGAGGACGGCAGCCCTCCCAAGTCATCACGTCGACGATCTAGATATGCTAAAGTCGATGACCTTGTCATGGTGGACCCCGATGGCCCTTCCGAGCCACCACCGATGAAACGATCCAGCTCGAGTGCGAAGAAGGGTCTAGGAGGCCTCTTCAGTGGCCTTAGAACACCCAAGACGGAGCGTCCGGACCCGTTGCGAAGGCGACACACCTATGCGACCGATGATGACACCAGGCGCGAACGCCGTCAACGATCCCATGCCGATGCAGACGAAGCTGACCCCGCAGCGATGACCGACATGGACCAAGAGGCTCGCCGCGCTGCTCGCCGCGCTCGTCGCGCAGCCAGAAATGCTGAGGCGGCCGAGGCCGAGGTCGTCGAGCCGGATCCCGAAGAGGCACGCCGCGCCGCCAAAGAAGAGGCTCGGCGCGAGCGCCACCGTAGGAGAGACGAAGAGGATACCGAAGCACGCAAGCAGCAGGAGAAAGAGCTCAGACGTGCAGAGCGGCGCGCGGCTCGCTCTCGCGGGCACCGTGACCAACGCGAGGAAGAGGAACGGAGAATGGCCGAAGATAGGGAGGCTGAGCGTGCCGAACGGCGAAGAGCACGGAAGCAGCGCGAGGCCGCCGCGGCAGCGGAGGCTGACGCAGATGCTAGACGCGCAGCTCGGGAAGAACGCCGACGAGCCCGCGAGGCTCGCGATCGTGAAGCGGCGCCGCCGCCGCCGCCGATGGACGAAGAAGAAGCCCGCAGAGCCAGGAAGGAAGCCAGGCGTGCTGCGCGTGCCGCGGCCGAAGGCACCGACGCGGAAGAGATGTATCACCACCGCTCCAGCCGGCGAACCCGGGAGTCCGGGGACGAAGGCATGCACTCCTCGCGACACCGGTACAGACGCAACGAGGAGTCCAAACCGGCGTGGCCCCACTCCGGAACGTCATCGTGGGTCAAGGAGCACACCGACGCCGGCCCGCCTCCGGACGATGGCGGACAACAGACGGACGCCGTGCCCCAGACCGAAGATGAGGCACGTCGTGAGCGGCGCGAGCGCCGTCGCAGGGCCAGGTACGAGGACGGCACCGCCGACGAGGCCGATGATCGCCGCCGCAGAGCCCGGCGCGAAGAGCGTGAGCGTCGGACGTACGGCGGTAGCGGGGGTGCCGGAGGCGGCGGCGGCTCCGAGGGGAGCGACGAGCGGCGTCGGCAGGCCATGTTTTCCGATGCGACGGCTACGCCGCGGAGTAGCTGGTGGAGAAAGTTGACCGGTTGAAGAGACACGCACAACACACACAAAGAGAGAAGAGAGAGAGAGGGCGAAAACCACGACAAAATGATGTGTATGAATGGATGTCAGCGAAGCGTTGTGCAATTTTCCTATTTTTCTCTCTTCCAACCCCCTTTTGTCGGATGGGAACACCACGTATGTTTTGATTCTTGTTTGAGAAAATGTTGTTTTGCTATATGAAAGAAAAACCATCTACGATATGTTTGACATATACCCCCCCTACCAAATACGCATATTGAATTTTTTTTTGCTGCAATACTATGTTACTGAAGAGAACGTCGGAAATAGTTGACGAGTATTGTTTCCATGTAAAGGCATCGCCTCCAAGCGGCCACGGAGAGAGAAGTCTTGGATACGAGCACGAATAGCATGGGCATAGGTAGCATAGCATAGCACAGCACACACACATACATCTTTCAAGCACCATGAAAGTATGAAACTGAGGAATGAACGTTGAGAATGCATCAAGAACCCATGTCTCTCTCTACTTTGCACCAAGCCAGCGCGAACAAACCATCTCCCAAGAGATCGTGATACCTTCCCTTACACCCAGCACCGACCGAACCCTGGAAGCGGGCATCACAAAGCACCCCAATCTACAACGCGGAGGCGGGCATACATCCGTGCAAAAGACATCGACCTCGGCCAAACTGTACGCGTCTGTTCGCCGGGAGCCAAAGATGCCCCTCCCGAGATGCACGGAAGATCGGGCCTTCTGTCATAGCGTCGGAAGCAAGACCAAAATAAGCCAGCGGCAAAACGGGCAAAAACGGTGAGAATATTAACTCTCTACACTCTTTCTGGTGCTTACGTACAATCATCGGGAGGCCTCCTGGGTTGTTATACGGAACTAGGCATTACTATATGGTACTATGGAGTATGGTAGATGTAGGGTATATGCGGACGCCCAATGGCTCACCCACGGCCCGCACGTGAGCGTGGAAACGCACTCAGGCTTTTTTGCGCGTGTGCTTAGAGGCAAGGGGGCAAATGTCTCTCTCTAGATCGGACATCAAATCGAACAAGGAAGGAAAAGAACAAACTGGTTGCTCAGCGCAACCCAGTCAACTTCAGCAGATCATGTTGATGGAAGTAAGCGCGGATGCGTTTGCCATAGAAATCTACAAGTAATTAGCTCTCTGTTTCGTACGGCGTGACTAATCGGCGACTTACACATTGGTATACTCGTGGCACAAACAACAACCTGAATACTGGCAATGGCCATCATTGTAGGCTTGATACCACCCCCGATGATCCAATCGTAGGCACTGAATGTAAGACCAAAGCTGAAGATGTTCTTGAAAATGATCATGATAGTGAAGCCTTCGATGGCCAGGTCGCGGTAGGCATCGACGATGTATAGAGAGCTGGCCACAGCCCCGATGACCATACCAGCAACCTCGAAGCCGAAGAATACGAGCGGGATGCTGTAGTGGTATTCCCTGGCTGAAAGCCCAGCAGATGTGACGCCGAACCCGTAGAGGCCAATAGAACCAATAATGAACATGGGCAGAACCATGACAATACGGAATTCGGGTTCGTAGATGCCATTGTTGCGACGAGTCAAGAACTTGGCACTCCAGTCGGAGAAAGCGCCAGCAATGATGAAGCCAACGAGCGCTCCCACGAAAGCACCAACGTAGGCGTATCCAGCGTATACCTCATTCCAGTAGTAAGGAGGCCCCAGGAAGAGGGCAGCAACAATGACACCGATGAAGACTGTCCAACCAATCATGGTGCCTTGAATCAGACATCCCCACAGAAAGGCGGGCTGAGCGATGAGCGGGAACGGGCGAAGAAGCAGTTTCCAGTAGTGCTCGTCCGTCTTGCGACCATCAAACAAAGCCAGCGATTGAATAAATGTCTTCTTCGGAGTTTGAGCTCCCGCTCCTCGGACAGCCTCCAGGCCTGATCCATAGGGCGCTGACGTAGGGTTCAGCTTCTCGTGGTCGCTGGACCTGCTGCCCGGGCCGCCAACATAAGATGCCTTGTTGTCAGTGAGTTCGATAGAGTCAGCAACCATATCCGTGTTGAGCGCAATGTCCCGACGGTAGGCTGTCTCAGGGCAAAGGAAGAAGACGGCGGGAAGGCACACGGCACAAAAGATGGCCTCCAAGTAAAACGTCCACCACCACCCAATGCTGTGAGTGATCTTGCCAACAACAATGGGAGTGAAGAAGGCGCCGCCAAATACTGCCAAGTTCGTAAAGGCCATGCGGGAGCCGCGCTGGTGTACAAAGTACAGATCACCGACGGCAGCATTTACGAGTGTCTCGAAGGGAGTACAGCCGATACCTTGGACAATGCGCGCACCAAGTAGCGAGTTGTAGCTCGTGCCAACAGAGCCCGCCCACGCAGAAGAGGCAACGAGGATGCATATTCCGAGAATGAAGAGATGGCGCTTGCCCCAGACTCGGGCAGAAGGCACAAAGAAGATGGCTGCGGCACCAACTCCGAGAAGGAAGTATCCGGTCAAAAGTGCGATGCGGGTGAAGCTAGTACGGAACAGGAGGGCAATCGTAACGGTATTCGCCGCGAGAATAGGGCCGAGCGCAGTCGCGAAGATGGCGGTCATGGAGAGAACAAAGGTGATGAGGTCTCGCTTCCAAAGGGGCCAGTTCAGGGGATCGTTGGGGTCATCGGATGGTTGAGGAACCTGGTGGGCTTGTTGTCAGCTGAAGGTTCACAGACTATGTCGCAGGAGCTATCCCGTCGGCTGCTCACCAGAATGATGGGCACATCGCCGCTCGCGTCGACTTTCAGTCCGTGGTGAGAATCGTTCGCTGTCTGGGGACGGTTTGGATCATCGAAGTAGCGCGTTGTCCCTGGAGTTTTGACGGTCGTCAGCGATGGGATGACAGGAGGACAATGCGGGCAGAGCGTTGAGAAGAAGCCGCGCGGGGACGCGGGCGGCCGGCGCGCGTGCAAGACAACTCACCTGGGACATTGTCCAAAGTCCTGGACTCGAGAATGCCAAGGCCCATGATGGCAGAATGTTGGAGGTTCCAGATGCTTGTATGAGCAGCGTGGACGTTGCAGGTCTCACGACATGATAAGGCTGAGAAGGAGTAGAGCCAGGCACAACCGAGTCGGTCTGGCGTAGGGCGGTTGTCGTGGTAGTCGGGAAGAAGAACCTGGAGAGAGGGACCCGGTGAAGTGACCTCGTTCAATAAAAAAAGGCTAACCGTTCTAGGTTTCCGTGTCTTTCGCCTCTCCTCATCTCCTTGCCTCCTTCCCCCAGCTATGGTGTGACCTTGAACATAGGTGTGGAGTCACCCGTGAAGGAGGTACCTTTTCTAGCTTCCCTGACCGGCACTTTGCTCTTGTCTTCGGCAGCTACGGGCTTGGGGTGTTGGGATACGACGCAGGGGTACCCAGCAGTGCTTGCCCATTTTTTGTGGCTCATTAAACCTTAAAGAAAGAGCTTGTCGGATGCTGTGGATGCAGTTCAAGAGTTTCGGCCAGGTCCCCCTACAATTGGACAGGGAAGGGTACGGATAGATGTTCTTACGGAGCATACGGAGTATACACAACACAATACTTGGGAACGTAGCAAATGCCCTGGAAGTAAGAAGACCCTCCGTGCCCTGTCTTCTTGACCCAACGCAACGGGCGGAGGATCCTCTCGCCGAAACGGCCGGGTCACGACTGGTTGGCCGGTCCGACCAGGTGGACATAGTCCCGAAGAGGAAAAGGAAGGGAAAACGCCAAAATGACGAACGAACTAGAGATTCATCGTCTTGACCAAGTTGGCGTCCAATCTTCCGCAAGTTTTATCTATGATTACTGATCAGGGTGCACTGACTCTACTTTGCGCAGAAACTCAAACGCAAACTCGCCGTCCAAATTGAGGAGAGAGAAAGCGCAGAGAAAAGCTTCCATTTCAATCCAAGCTTGACTAACTCATCTCAACATGTGAAGCAATTGTTTTTGCCTGGCTGATCTTGATCTATAGTTTACCTTTTCGCGTCACCAAGACCCCGAAAAGAGCTCGTCGTCGTGTGGGTACCGAGTACGTATTGCTGCTTTGTCCTCCTCCCCCATCATATTTTGGACCCACGGCCGTGCCCCCGTCGCAAAAAAATGGTTGTTAGCACAGTCTTACCAAGACGAGCTTATCTCCGAAGATGTGCATTTGTGCAGCCCATCCAGATCTAGACAAGTATGGATACCAAGAAAGCACTTGTGGAGGGGCTGTGTTCGTGAAAGCCAAGCTTTCACTCGTTGCAGGGATGAAGGTCCGATCTGAAAGCCTCAACCGAGCTACTGTGAACGCCAACGACCAAAGCCTCGGACTCTGATCTAGAACCACAGGCACTTTGTCGCGACCTGATGGCACGTCCAGCTCCGAGAACGGGTCGCGTATTTCTTCGGCTCAATCCACTTCGACACTAGGCTGGCTCCGTAGGTCCGTAGGACTGTAGGGCGTGCTGGTAGTCAAGTGACTGTTGAAGAGACCAAGAAAAGGACCACGAATTTTCTGCCAAGTCGGTCGATGCGTCTTGTTTCATTCCTCTTTCGGCGCTCCTAGTACGGACTTACAAACCCCCTCCATCCTTCAAAAATGGCTCAAAGTCCTCTTGATGGCCCTCGGAAAGGCCTCTCAGTTTCGCGGCAAGCCGAGAGCCAAGCTCATTATGTTCTTCTCTTTTATCGCGGTTCTAGGAAGGAAAGATCAACTTGTCTCCCAGGTCAAGTCTCAGCAGCTGGCCAAACCTTGTCTCTACAGGTTCAGCGACAAATCACAATACTCTCGCCAGATATTACAAGTAGTCCGAAACATGAGATTCCGCGCTTTTGGGCCAAGTTGGTTGTCGTTGGTGACCTCCAGCGCGTTGTAATATTTCAGAAGAGAGTTTGTAATTTGTGTCCCTCTTGCTAATAGACAATTACGGGTTGGCAAGATGGCAGTTGTCAACTGCAAGAGCAAAGTTTCCAAGTCAGGAAATCGCCCATGTTTTTTAGTTCTTCGACTGCACCTCGAAGTCTCGAACTTCGCACGCACTTCTGGTCTTCTTGCCGCTCTGCAAAGTAGCCCGGAAATTTGAATGGAGAGACTGAAGCAGCTACTAGGCTCGGAATTGCCTTACGTTAGAAACGGAAACCGCGAAGTCAAACAGCCGTTGGGGCAGTTGCCGTTTTGTGGCTAGTACTGCAGTTTTGATATGCGTCACGCCTTCACAAATCACACCGCAACTACGACTACGCACGTAACAGATGCATACCGACTACAGCAACACCATGCCAGCGATTCCAGGATATCCGACAAAATTGGAATCGGTCTTCGGTTTTCTGCAGCTTGCGGGTCTCGGATCGCTTTGTTTGTAGCTTTCGAGGCGAAGCGAAGCGGACTCCGTAGACCAGCGAAAATGCCGAGAATCGCACAATCTCGAGCTGTGGACAATTCAGTATTCGGTTCTTGGATTCTTGCAGCTTCCAGCTGAGTATGGCTTGGCGTATTGCTTGGTTCACCAGAATGGGCAATTTGCAAACGGATAGCAAACGAATGGACAATACGCAGCCCCTCAAATCGAATACGCGCGAGTTTACTCTCGAATACCCGAGTCCCGAGCTACTTGGGTTCCAGAAACGGGAGGAAATTAACAACAAACAGCCTGACAGCTGCAGAAGCGTGGTTGGAGTAGTGGTTAACTCGTTGCCCTCCCATCATCGGCAAAGGCAGAAAGTAGGTCAATATCTCTCCCAAATACGGAATTTCGCTGACCAAACAGCACTGGTTCGAACCCGGTGCCGCGCATCGAACAATATTTTTCTTTGCCAAGTGTTCTTTGCATTCACATCGATCAACGATTCTCTCTATGTTTAGAGACTATGTGTTACATGCGCCGTCAAAGCGGATCCTTTGCATCCTCGTAGACAAGACGTAGGTCGAATGCATTTTTGGAAATGCTTATCGCGCTGTAGTCGGTGAGTAAATACTAGTGCTGGTGTCGCATACCAAAGGCTCAATTGTTAACCAGATAGTCACTTCGCTTGATTACTAGATCAAGGGCGAAACCGACTCCACGAGACTATATACAAAGAAAGCTATGTGGATGGAAGCTCCGGCTAATGCTCGACCGGTGGACGATACACTTTGGTGTCAAAGCCATAGTTGTCGTCGATTGGCCACTACAAATCGGTGACGACTATATTTCTCCTCTATACCCTACTCTACTGCTCTATGCGTAGGGAGGTATGCGGGCGACGACGGTCCAGGCTATTGAGCTATGGTAGATCGCGCGGTGGCGAAATGCCAAAATCGTACGATGGCGTCCAACGACCGAGCGGCCGACGGGAGCCCGTCGATTACGAAACTCGACTAGAAACCGACTTTCTACTATAAGGCGGCCTATAAACGAGTGTATCAGACAATTGGGTCCAAGAACGGTGGTTTTGGGAGCGCATTACCGCATTTGCGGTGCATCGCTGTCTTAACTTGACGAGGCGTGGACAACCTTTGATTTTCACTCCGAGGCGTGATTGGCGTTCACGACGGACATTCTCAGGCGCATTATGCAGCTCTTAAGCTAAAGAGGCACGCAGAGCTTTTGGGAATTCCCCTGGAAAGGTCGCGAGGAATTCTCCATAGCTTCCTGCAGCCAGAGAAGTTTTGTGCCCTCAATGGCATTTGCAAGACATTTAGCAGCCGTGGCGCACACCGATTTCCCTTATGAAAGGGCACGAGGGGTTATCTCAAATAATTGTCAGTATTGTCTCACAGTTAGTTAGCTTGAGGTTCGGCCCGCAGTTGGACTGACAGAGCAATAGTTTTCGCCGCAATCCCCAATCCTGCGGTCGACTTACACGCGATGCGACATGAACGACTTGCCGTTGGGCGGCCAGGCAACCATGTCGCGAACTCCTTGCATAAATCCTCGGAACAATCGATTATAAATACTTTAGGCGCGTGCGACGCGATACTGCGGTTCAGAAAGCCATGGTCTTTATTCCGACGCAAGCGGAAATGCAACGGCTACCCAGACATGACATCCAGACGAAATCGGGCGTTTCATACATCATTGGCGTGATCCCCCGTGTGCACTTGGATGCGCTCGACCTTGGATGGACCAAAAAGAGTTCACCTCGGTAGGCTACATCTCTTGGTGCTCATGCTGGGAATCGAACTCGAACTCGGAGCCTGTCGTCGAGTAGGCTGTGGGCGTGATTGATTGTTGACCTTGAACCACTCCACCACTCAGCCAGTTTGACCTGACCCGTCGACCTAGACGGGCGCCTGCTGGCTGGTGACAGGAATGGGATTGAGGGGGTATATGAAGGCTTTCTGTATATTCGGGTGGGGAGCCTGGCCAACTCGAGAGTATTCAAAAAGTGTGTATTCTGGCAGAGGGATTGCTTGGAGACTTCACGGAAAACGCCAGCCTTGCGAGAGTTGCGCCTCCTCTGTGCGCCAATTTCTCCAATGTCTCAGTATTGAGAGTCTTTGGAAATCAAATAATCACGACAAAACGGCGGAACACAACCCCCAGTTACTATTTGCTTTTGCGCAGGTATTGAGTGACGCCATTACTTACAGGTTACAAACGTTCTTACAAAAGAACGAATCAGATTTACCAATGGAACTCGCTCGATATATGAGGAACAGAGCGATTTCTGGGGTGAGATCTGGGCGTTGTGCGTCGTTTCCGGAGCCGAAGCCGGTCCGGGAAGAAGACAAAGGGTTGGGCGAGAAGAACAAAGGTGTGCAACTGCGACTGTCATTGCTTGAAATTCTTGCCACAACCACGCTCATGATTTTCCTTCTTTTATGTGTTTCCCAATTTCCAAGCATGTTTTGTTCAACCCAACGGCCTTACTTTTACGGACGCGCGAAGTCGCGACGTCAAAAGAACGAGTGGTCGCCGAGCCCAAGGTGGCCGCCGCTGAAGAAGATATCCATTGTCTCCAGGGAGAGCGACTCGTCAAACTCCGGGACCAGCGTCACTCCCGTGAAAGAGGATGGATTATGGTTATGTTGGCCCGGTACATTGTCCTGATGATGATGTGTCCAAGTCGGTGTTGCCGTCGCGGCTGCGGCCACGGCCGACGGACCCCGAAGGCTTCCACTCCTCACAAATGACACTCCCACTTCCGGCAACCCATGGCCGTCGCCCCCGGCAGTAGTTCCGGCTGTGCTACCAGCGCGGGCTTCCGTCCTCTCCGCTACTTTTTTCAAAGCCCTCTCTAGGCCGAATTGAATCGCAGACGGTGCGCTGTTCCCTCGGACGCCGTTGTGCCTCTGTGCCGCGCG